CACCTTTCTTGTTGCAGTCCCAAAAGAAAATTTGTGCTGCAGCACTATGTTGCACCTCAGCAGCAGTAGCAGCAGCAGCAGGCGCTGAAGAGGCTGTTGCTGCTGTTGTTGCTGCTGCTGCTGCGTCAGTTCTTATTGTTGCTGCTGCTGCTGCTGCGAGGGCACTAACAAGGGGCTTAGGGAAGGGACGACAGACGTAGAGATACTCAAGATCATAAGAAGCAGCAAGGAAGCAGCTGCTGCTGCCTGCTGCTGCGTGCTGCTGCTGCTGCCACCTCGTAAGACACAACCCCCCTCTCCCCCACACCATCCGGTCCTCATGCTGCTGTTGCTGCTGCTGTTGCTGCTGCTGTTGCTGTTGCTGCTGCAGTGCATGCAACATATGCTCAAGGACAAGCAGCAGCTTGCACTGCTCATGAGAGGGAGGACTTCCTGCCATGAGTCTCTCCGCAGCAAAACAACACAACTTTCGTAGATGCAGCTTCAGCTGCTGCTGCTGCTGCTGCTGTTGCTGCTGCTGCTTCTGCTGCTGTCGTTGCTGCTGCTGCTGCTTGCTGTAATATTGAATGAGGGAAAGTGCCCAGCTCGCCAAGAACATTCGTTCTTTAGCCCCTCCCAACCCCACCAACTCGAACTGCTGCTGCTGCTGTTGCTGCTGTTGCTGCTGTTGCTGCTGTTGCTGCTGCTGCAATTGCTGCTGCATACTTTTCAGGTGTATCTGCAGCTGCTGCAACTCAGCCATTATTACCGCGTAGGGGGGCAGCAACTCGCTAACCCCTTGGAGGTGTGGGGCCCCCACCTGCATCCCTGTAGCCCTTATCCAACGCCAAGCAGCAGCACTTTCACATTCTGCTGCTGCTGCTTCTGTTGCTGCTGCTGCACCAGCAGCAACTGCTGCTGCTGCTCGCAGTTCTGCTGCTGCTGCAGGTGATGAAGTCCTTAACAATACTTCTGTTGCTGCTGCTGCTCCTCCTCCTCCTGCCGTCTCTCCTGCTGCTCGACCAATACTACCGAGGCCTCTGCTGCATGCGCGGAGGAGTTTGCTGCTGCTCCTGCTGCTGTTGCTGCTGCTGCTGCTGAGTAGCCGTTTGGTAGATCGGTGGTTGCTGTCCAAAAGGATGCAGCAGCTGTCGCTGCAGCTGCTGGAGGCTGCAGCAGCAGCAGCAAGAAGAGACAGCCAACTGGCTCTGTCTTTTATTGGAAGCAGCTTGCCCCAACGATTGCTTTCCTGCTGCTGCTGCTGCTGCTGCTGCTCAGAACGGGGATTGTTGCTGCTGCCAAGTTCCCTCCAAGCAGCAAGGCAGCACTTCAGCAAGGAGAGCAGCAGCACGAACTGCTGCTGCTGCTGCTGCACCTGCAAATGACACTGCGGAGGTGTATGTGACGGATGCCACAGCTGCAGCTGCTTCGGTGCCTCTTCTTCTGCTGCTGGATCTGCTGCTGCTGCTGCTGCCGCTGTTGCTGTTGCTGTTGCTGCTGCTGCTGCTGCTTCTGCTGCTTTAGAAGACGCAGAAGCAGTCGGCACCTGCTGCAGCAAACACTGCAGCAGCGGTTCTTTTGCTGTCAGGTAATGTGTCTGTTCCCAGCTGAAGAAGCGCGGCTGCAGCTGCTGCTGTTGCTGCTGCTGCTGCTGTTGCTGGGCTTCAAGCTGTGCTGCTGCAGCATCGAGAGCCGGGTATCCCTGCTGCAGCAGAAGCAGCAGCAGCGCCATGGCTAGCCGCAGCGCAGGTAGCAAGGCATAGCAGCAGCGGCAGCACTGCTGCAGATCTGCCAGCAGCAAATCGCATGCAGTAGTTGTGTCTGCTGCTACGCCCTCCAGTGTTGCTGCTGCCCAGAGAGTTGTTTGCTGCTGCTGTTGCTGCTGCAGCAGCAGAGAAGAAGCAAAGGAAGACACGCCTCCGAATGCAAAATGTCCACCAGCAGCAGCAACAGCAGCAGCAGCAGCAAGCGGAGGCCGCCCGCGGCTGCTGCCTAAGACTCGCTGCAGCTTGAAGCCCTCAACAAAGGAGACAGGCCATAGATCCTTGCTGCTGCTGCTGCTGCTGCTGCTGTTGCTGCTGCTGCTGCTTGAGCCCTTGGAGATGAGCATGCAAGGCAGCAGACTACGAGACAGCGGTACATTGGAAAGAGCTTTGCTGCTGCATGCAGCAGACGCTGTACTTGCTGTTGCTGCTGCAGCTGCAGCTGCTGCTGCTTCGCCCACTGCAGCAGCAGCACCCCACAAGACCAATGGGCTAATGCTGGAGGGACCTCCTTTTGGTGCTGCTGCAGCTGCAGTTGCTGCTGCTGATGTTGCTGCTGCTGCTGAGGAGACACCAGCATGGTGCTGTATTAGCTGTTGCTGCTGCTGTCCTTGCTGCTGCTGTTCTTGGTGCTTCTGTGTCAGCAGCAGCTGCAGCAAGAAGCGCGCAACGCATGCATGCGTTTCTGGGGACAGCCATCGCTGAGGAAGCAAAAGGAAGGGCAAGGACTTCTTTGCCGCTGCTGCCGCTGCTGCTGCAGTATCTGCTGCTGCAGCATTCTGCTGCTGTGGCACAAATACACCTGCTGCTCGCAGCACATACTCAACTTGCTGCAACGTCAGAAGAAAGACGCGCTGCTGTTGCAGCAAAGAAGAAGAACCTTGTTGCTGCTCCTGCTGCTTCTGCTGCAGCTGACCCGAAAGCTGCAGCAGCAGCACCTCCTCAGCTGCAGCAAAACGCAACGCCGCCGAGCTGCTACTGCTGCTGCTGCTGCTTGCCGCCTCTATTGTTGCTGCTGCTGCTTGAGAGTGCAGCGCAACAAAATAAGCAGCAGAAAGAGCAGATAAAGAGCCATACTCACCACCGGTGCCCTTCCTATTGCTGCTGCTGCTGCTGCTGTTGCTGTTGCTGCTGCTGCTTGCCGCATGCATGAGACTAGCGTGTTGCCTCTGTGCTGATTCTACAGCACGACGTAAAGCCCGCACCGCACTGCTGCTGCTGCTGCTGTTTGTCTGAGAGCTGCTGCTGCTGCTGCTGCTGCAGAGGGCCTTATCAACAGCTGCAGCAAGGGGCAGCAGACGATTCACTTGCAGTTCTGCCCATGACTGCAGCTGCCGCACACCTGTTGCAAGCCATGCATCAGCAGCAGCAGCAACAGCAGCAGCAAGAGGCCCTACTCCGCTGTTGCTGCCTTCACTGACCGTTTCTGAAGCAGCAGCAGTGGCAGCAGCAGCAGCAGCAGCAGCAGCAAGAACAGCACGACACAGCTGCAGGAGAATAAGTGCAGCAGCATATTGATTGTCTGCTACACTGCGGCATTCCTCATATTCTTTTATAAGGCTGTCAACATCCTGCTGCTGCTGCTGCTGTTGCTGCTGCTGCTGCTGCTGCTGCTGTTCCTGGTCGAAGGCTGCAGCCCGCCAGAAGGGCAGCAGCGCAGCAGCACATAGCAGCAAAATGTTCTGCTGCAGCAGATAATCCTCAACTGCTGCTGCTGCTGACCCCAGATCACCCACAAGCCTGAAGACAAACAGCAGCAGCAGCAACAGCAGCAGCAGCAGCAAGGTCATAAGTAAAGATCGTGTTGGTTCGTGGCACCGCATTTGCAGCAACAGCAGCAACAGCAGCAGAAAGCAGCAAACTAGTATAAGGACAGTACAGCAGCAGTAACAATAACCGCGGCAGTATGACGAAGGGGAGGGAAACAGCAGTAGCAGCAACAGCAGCAGCTGCTGCAGCAGCTGCTGCAGCAGCTGCTGCTGCGCTTGTTTCTATGCACACCGCAGCATCACTTACTGCAGCAACTCCGTCACAGAAAGCATGTTGGGTGTTGCGTGTTGATAACTTGCTGTTGCTGCTGTTGCTGTTGCTGCTGCTGCTGCTGCTGGTGCTGCAACCCCACACCCCAGAGAAACACAAAACGTTTGGGGAGTTAACAGCAGCATAGCCAACGAAGGACCAGGGCCTTCCTCTCGTGCTGCTGCTGCTGCCGTTGCTGCTGCTGATGCGTTTGCTGCTGCTGCGGGTACTGCTGGAGCTCCTGTTGCTGCTGCTGCTGCCCTCCTCCCTGCTGCAGCCACCACAACACAACAGCTGAGGAGTTGCTGCTGCAGTAAATATGCAGCAGCCGTTGCAGCACGAGGTGAGGGGGAGGCAGCATCCAAAGAGGAAGCAGCAGCAGCAGCAGCAGCAGCAGTTTCGTTGTCGTAGGCCGCAAATAGCGCGTCGAGGGTGACCCCTTGCTGCTGCTGCTGCTGCTGCAGGGCCAACAGCAAGGCGCAGAATGCTTTACGTGTCTGCTGCTTCGCCTGCCACGTCCGTCGTGCTGCAGCAGCCCACCAACAGGTGCAGCAGCAAACCTGCTGCTGCTGCTGCTCCTTCATCAGCTCTCGCTGCAGCTGCTGCAGCTGCAGCGGACGTGCTGCTGAGCCCCAACTTGACGAACTCCCAGCTACTCCTGTTGCGGATGCAGCAGCAGCAGCTGCTGCTGCTGCTGACGCAGCAGCAGCTACTCCTGCTGCTGCTGCTGCCGTTGCTGCGCGGGATTGCTGCTGTCGGTTCCAGTAAACAGCCAGCGCAACCCACGGCTTGCAGCAGCAGCAGCCAGAGCCATCATCAGCAGCAGGAACATCTGCAGCAGCCCTGCTGCTGCTGCTGTTGTTGTTGAGGGTGATGTAGTTGCTGCTTGGACTTTCGTTGCTGCTGCTGCTGTGGTTGCTGCTGCTGTTGCTGCAGTTGCTGCTACTGTCTGGCCAGCCAAACAGCAGAGCCGAGGACAACGCGGAGCCTAGTGATGCCCGCAGCCACAGCAGCACGGCACGCTGCTGCTGCTGCTGTTGCTGCTGCTGCTGCTGCTCTTCATTGGGCATTTCAGACAGAGCCACAAAACAGTCTGAGCCATTAACAGTAGAAAGATAATCTGCTGCTGTTGCTGCTGTTGCTGCTGCTGCTGCTGCTGCAGAGGAGCTTGCCGTACAAGACCGGGATTCGCCGCCAAGGCCACTGACTGGGAAGCGCAGGGAAGCAGCAGCAGCAGCAGCAGCAGTGGCACGCTCCTTGTTAGGTGCCTGCAGCAACGAGAGCAGCCGGTCTGCTGCTGAAGCAGCAGCAGCGAGCCAGGAGATGCATGCAGATCCTACGCCTTTATTTTGCTGCAGCAGCAGCAGCAGCAGCTCGCGATTCCATACGCAGCCTCCAGGTGCAGCAGCAGCAGCAGATGTCTCGCATGAACCACAGAGGCAGTCCTGCTGCTGCTGCTGCTGCTGTTGCTGTTCCTGTTGCTGAGTGGGAGAACGGAGTTCAGCTAGCTGCTCGGAGCAGCGCCGCTGGTGCTGCTGCTGCTGCTGCTGCTGCTGCAGTGCTGTACACCGCTGCCACACAAAAGCAGCAACGCGGGAGAAGCAGCAGCAAAAGTGCGACAGAGATGCAACAGCCTCTGTGCTTACCCACTGCAGCAGCTGCAGCAGCATCTGCTGCTGCTGCTGCTGCTGTTGGTTGAAGTGCAGCAGCAATAGCTGGGTGTTAGTGCTGCTGCGCTCGTTGCTGCTGCACAGCGCATGCAGTCGAGTCTGAGCTGCTGCAGCAAATGCTGCAGCAGCAGCATGCAGGCTTTGAGGCTGCTGCTGCTGCACAGCAGCACCAAGCAGCAGCACGACGCACATTCTATCTAGCGGTTTTGCTGCTGCTGCTGCTGCTGTGTGCTGCAGTCTGTCCTCTACTAGCAGCTGCTGCAGCACTTGCCAGTCAAGACACAGCAAGCGAGACACCCACATCCTCAACTCAGAGTCGTGCTGCTGCTGTTGCTGTTGCTGCTGCTGCTGCTGCTGCTGACTGCTGCAAGCAGCACCAGCAGCCCAGGCCTCCTGCGGAGCGGTGCTGGAGATACACTGCAGCGCATGCACAGGTGCTCCCCATAACGGCCATCTTTCTGCTGCTGTTGCTGCTGCTGCTGCTGTTGCTGCCGCTGGAGACACTGCTGCTGCTGATGCTGAACCGTCGCCTACAGCTGTAAGGGGACAGCAGCAGCTCGAAGATTCCTTGCTGCTGTTGCAGCGGCTGCTGCTGCTGCTGCAGCTGCTGCTGTTGCAGCAGCTGCTGCTCTCAGACTGACAGTTGCACTTGTCGGCAGATTCTTCCTTTAGTTTGATTTGCTCACGCTGCTGCAGTTGTTGCTTCTGCTGCTGTTGCTGCTGCTGTTGCAGCTGTTGCTGCAGCTGCTGCAGGTGGAGCTGCAGCTTTGCTGTTACAGAGGCACGAAGAATTTCTGTTATCTCTATAGCCAAAGGAGGGACTGTCCCTAGTGTCTCTCCTTCGTCCTGCTGCTGCTGCTGCTGCTGCTGCTGCAGTTGTTGTTGCTGCTGCTGCAGCATGTGCCTTTGCTGCAGCTGCTGCTGCTGTATATGCGGTTTGTAGGCCGCAGCAGCACAGAAGGCAATATAATCTAATACCTCAATTTTACAGGAAGACAGCAGCTGCTGCAGCAATTGTTCTGCTGCTGCTGCTGCTGCTTCTAGCTGCTGCTGCCCTGCTTGTGCTGCTTGCAGCAAACCAATGTGTGCTGCATACGTCTGCACATGCAGCGCACCAAAGGTTGAAGTACCTGCTGCTGTTGCTGCTGTTGCAGCTGCTGCTGCTGCTGTTCGACAGGTGTTGCTGCGGAAGGGCGTTGGTGTGCTGCAGGGAGTGTTCCTTGCGCATGCAAATGGCGACACAGCAGCAGCAGCAGCAGCAGCACTTGCTGCTGCTGCTGCTGCTGCTTCGGTTAGTCGCCGATGAAGAATCGGGGTGTTCGCCCTGCGGCTGCCTAGGGAGAGTGCTGCTGCTGCTGCTGTAGCTGCGGCCCTCGTTGCTGCAGCAGCAGCAGCAGCGGAAACAGGTGTTGCTGCTGCTGCTGCAGAAGCAGCAGCAGCAAAAGGTGTCGTCTTAGGAGTACGGCTAAAAGGAGAAGCAGCAGGTGAGGTGTATAGGCAGCTCTTCTCCTGCTGCTGCTTCCTTCGTGGGGTTTGTGCTGCTTCGTCAAGGGCAAACCTTGCAGGAAGCAGCGGCTCGCCACTGTCCTGCTGCTGCTGCTGCTGCTGCTGCTGCTGCTGCTGTGTCAGACTGCGGGCATGCTTGCGGTGGGGAGTGTCTGAAGCACCGCCTGAAGCCGCTCGTTTGGCTCGCTGGAGAGCTGTTGCTGCTGCAGTTGCTGCTGCTGCTGCTGTTGCTGCTGCTGTTGTTGTTGCTGCTCCTGCTGCTGTGCTTGAACATCCTGCTGCTGCTGCTGCTGCTGTGGTAGTGGCGAAGGGAGAGGCCCTGAATGGGGACTCTACGCGTCTTGCATATGGGTTATATGCCTGGATGCTGTTATTGCTGTAGCTGCTGCTGCTGCTGCTGCTGCTGTTCTTCCTGCTGCTGCCTTGTGTTCCTTCGCTGTCTGAGTCAATTACCACCACTTCTTTGTCTTGCATTGCAGCAGACCCATAAGAACACTCTCCAGCCGTCGCTCCTGCTGCTGCTGCTGCTGCTGCTGCTGCTGTTGCTGCTGCTGTTGCTGCTGCTGTCTGCAGCTGTGGGGCCCACGGAAGGGACAGCAGCTGCTGCAGCACGGGGCTTAGGGGCAGCAGCAGCGCAGCAGCAACAGAGTAGAGACGCACCCTTAGGGCTCGTCGAGCGAACGCCATATACCTGCATGCGCATGCAGCAGCAAAACAGCAGGCATGGTTTGCTGCTGCTGCTGCTGCTGCTGCTGCAGCAACAGCAGCAACGTGTACTTGTGCTAGTTTTGCTACCGCTGCAGCAAAGGATAATGATGGTATCTAAATGCTGCCTCTCAAGCCTCAGCAAATTGGGAGTCGGCTGCTGCTGCTGCTGCTGTTGCTGCTGCTGCTGCTTACGCGTTGCAATGGAGGTAGAAGTGACGCAGAAGGGAGGCGCCGCCTCTGCGCTGCTGCTGCAACTCCCTGCTGCTCACCTGCAGCAGCTGCTGCAGAAGACTCCGCCCACACTGCAGCAGGTAGCACAGCAGCACAGCAGCAAAGAGGCAAAATAAAGACAGCAGCAGACGCAGCAGCAGCAGCAGCAGCAAAAATAGAGAAGAGGGCAACATTATGCATGCATCGATTCTCCTGGTGTTTACCTCTCCGATGATCAGAAGCACCGCTTCCTGCTGCTGTCGCTGTTCCCCTTGCTGCTGCTGCTGCTGCTGCTGCTGCTGCAGTTGCTGCAGCAGCTGCTGCTGCAGCGCAGCAAAGCCAGCCATGCATCGACTGGCAACAGCATTTGCCAATCCCTCGAAATCTTTGACAAGGAAATGTTGGAGTGTCTGTGCAGCTTGCTGCAGCTGTCTCTGCTGCTGCTGCTGCTGCTGTTGCAGCAGCTGCTGCTGCTGCTGTTGCTGTGGCTGCCACGCTGCGAAAGGATCGTTCTCCGCCTGCTCTAAGAGGAACCTAAGCTCCTGCTGCTGCTGCTCATGCTGCAGTGCAGCAGCAACAGCACGCAGCAGCGACTCAATAGACAGCAAAGAGCCGTACGTTTCTGCTGCTGCTGTTGCTGCTGCACCCAGCAGCTGCTGTAGCTCCTGCTGCTGCTGCTGCTGCAGCGCGCTGCAATCTTGTGCAGTTTGACTATAGGAGTCTTGAGGTGTCTTCTCAGCAGCAGCCTCTGCGACTCCCGTTGCTGCTGCTGCTGCTGCTCCTGCTGCTGCTCCTGCTGCTGCTGCTGCTGCAGTCTGCGGCAGCAGCAAAAAGGCGCTGCTGCCTTCTGCTGCTTCACAGGAGCAGACACCCAATGCTCTGACAAGTTTTGCTGCTGCAGATGGGCATACACCACAGGGTGTCTCTATTGTACCCTCAGCAGCAGCAGCAGCAAACTCACTCACTCCTGCTGCTGCTGCTGCTGCTGGTGTTGCTGCTGCTGCTGTTGCTGCAGTGGCTACGGTAGGGGAAGGGGCAGGGAGTGCAACTGTGCAAGAAGAAACGTCGCAGCATTTAGATGTATCTACAGATCCAGCAGCAGCAGCAGCACCAGTTGCTGCTGCTGCTGCTGCTGCTGCTGATACAGCCTGTGTAGTTTCAGGGTCACCTTCGCTGCTGATTGTTGGCAGCAGCAACAGCAAACCATCGATTTGCTGCTGCAGCTGCCGAGACAGCCGAGCTACGTCATGGTAAAGCCTCGTGGTGCTGCTGCTGCTGCTGTTGCTACTGTTGCTGCTGCTGCTGCTGCTTGCCTCTGCCTTGAGGGCCTTCCACGCCTTAGAAAGATCCGCTGCTGCTGCAATGCAGCGGTCCCATTGTTGCGGGTCTCCTGCTGCTGCTGCTGTTGCTGCTGCTGCTGCTGTTCTGTGCGTCTCCTGTGCAACAGCAGCATCTCCTGCTGGCCTTTTTCCTGCTGCTGCCTGTGTTGATCTGCTGCTGAAGTTGAAGCAGCCGACAGCAGCAGCAGCAGCAGCAGCAAATGGCGAGGGAGGTATTGCTCGAGCTGTTGGTGTTGCTGCTCCTTCTGCTGGTGTTAATGCAGGTGTTGTTGTTGCTGCTGCTGCTGCTGGTGTTCGGCGCACAGGAGAGGCAGCTAATGTTGCTGCTGCCACAGCAGCAGCTGCGCGCCTTTGCCTAGCAGCTGCAGCTAAGGGGCTCCTCTGGGGGCTGGCCTGCATGCTGTTCCTTCTGCTGCTGCTGCTGTTACTGCTGCTGTTGAAGCAGCAGCTGATGCTGCTGCGTTGTCGAGTGTGCAGGGCAACGAAGGTGGAGGAGGCCCCCACCCCCTGGGGGGCCCCTGGAGCTGTAGGGGGCCCCCCTGCAACAGGAAGCTGAGCAGCAAGTAAAATAAGACATAAAAAGGGATTATTTTAATGCAGCATAATGTTAATATAATTTAATTAATAAATAAAGGATAATTTCCTCTCCTTCCTCCTATAAGGAAAGAACAGGTGGTGGGGTTGGGGGGCCCCCCCCGCATATGTAAACGTGGTTCTTCCTAGAAGAGCAAGAGTTTCTTTATTTATTGTTTATGCTTCTTTGTTTATTATTAAATAAATAAATAAATAAATTAATTAATTAATTAATTATAATATTTAAATTATAATACGTAAAGTATATTGTTTATGTTCTTAGGCAGCCATAGAGGGGTGGCCCTGTGGTCTTGGTAACACACACGAAGTTTTCTTTGCAAGTTTGTTTTTCTTGCTATTGTATAGCCCCTCTTTTTGTTCCTTTTTATCCTTTTCTTGCTTCTCCTTTTATTAAGAGTGGCATTTTTCCCTTATAGTGAAGAAGAAGGGGAAGGCTGTAGTATACAAATGCTTATCTTATTGAGCTATGAAGGACTCAAAACTCTAAACCCTAAACCCTAAACCCTAAACCCTAAGTGACACAACCTCTACGGGCTTCCTCCTCTCCTTTGGCCTTGGAGCAGCCTTTTGCGCAATCTGTTTGCTACAGTACAAGCGCATGCAGGAGAGAGGGAGTAATTGTATCTTCATGTTATATTGTCTTGGCTGCCTACAGCTCCCCTTCTATGCATGCAGCACCTCCATGGTCAAGAACTAAGCAACCAATTCCCTCTTAAGATATATTAGTATACACTCTATATATAATATAGATTTACTTAATAAATTTCCTGATTCCTTCCTCCCTATGAGTCTTGTTGCCCCCCTCAGTACGAAGTAGATTGTTGTATTTGTGCTAATTCCTTCACTACTTTTTTTTTTTTTTTTTTTTTTTTTTTTTTTTTTTTTTTTTTTTTTT